TTGACCTACAATATTGATGAAATCAACAGTTAACAGGAAACCTAGGGGATAGGAAATCAATATCACATAGAGGTAATTGTGATACTCTCCAGTGATGAACATTCATGAATATGCTAAGTCATCTTCAATGATGCTAATCACCTTTTGATCTCAAAGCTTCTATGCATATAATCTCTTTTAGGTCTCATCTAAATGTCAATCTAAACAACCCAATACCTTATTCTATTCTCCTTTCAAGAATCGGGAAATTCGATCCAACCTATAACCTCTTTTTCAAGCAAGTCGCACACATCAAACCTAAATTGCTAGTATTAAACTAATTACTCACTCTAATTAGACTCTTTTGAGCACCAACCAGAGATCGAAATTAGGATTTAAGTTTCTATCCTTAATACTTAAGTTAAAGTCATTTTAATTAGATGAAATTCATGTATGAACAAAAATAAAACAAGCATAGAACAACACCACTACATTAAATCAACACCCAACCCCATTTTAGCACCGCCTAGATCTTGGGGTTTAAGCCACCCATAAAAAAGTAAAGAAAATATATTATCCATGAAATAAACCATGGGTAACTTGAAATCAAGAAATTAATGGAAGCCCACGTTTGATTCAACTTCAATTTATCAAATTCAAATTTCATGTTATAAAACCCCAAAATCTAGAAACTGAACTTTAAAGGTGATCTGCTCTAAAAACTCTCTTTACCTATCAAAAAAGAACCTTTTGAACTATTTTCTACACTTTCTAAATACTATATCCTTTGGGATATTTATAATTTTCCAAATTTGTCCCAAAATCTTTTTCACTACCGACTCAACAATATTAGTCGGGCTCACCATACTTTCTCGGAGAATTGTTTTTCTCTCCTTAGCTCGCCTAATGATTCTCTATGATATAGGTGATTGAATCTAAGTTGGAGAACTCGATTGAGTCCAGTTTTCATGTTTTTCAAATCATCGAGTAACACCTTGGTTCTTCTTTCAAGCATTATATATTCTCTTTACACATTATCACTTAGGATGATGTATAATAGGATCACTTTTATCATTCGGCATATCTCCATCTCTATTGAGTCCGTCAACCACTTTTGATAGATACAAGTTTTGTACACTATCAATTTGCGCGAGCTCATTCTCGTTTGGAAATCCTCCCTTCATTTTAGGCGATAAATAATATTTACTTTACAGTTATTTTTTTGTATTTCTTACTATTCTCTCAAACATTAGTCCATGCCTTAGCCAGTTGTCTTCATAGTTGCAAATTATCAACATTCTATCAAAATAAGAAAAAAATTGGTATTGAGGACACTTATTATTGACGTAAGTGGACTTTAAATTTGTGCAAATCTACCAACCATTAACAACCCCAACTTTAAATTTTGCTTCTCCTCAAGTATATCAAGAACACATAAACCTCAAAAAGAGTAACTTCAAGAGTACTTAATAAGAGCTAACATGCAAGTCCCAGAGAAAGACTACTATGGATAACATGTTATGCTTAATTATGATCACAAACTTCAAATGATGACTACATAGTATAAAAAAAGGTCAAGCTTACTTTATCCTCCGGTCTAATGCAAGAACACGTTTAAAAAAATGCATTCAAGTGCCCTTCATCAAGACCGATTTCATATTCTCACAAAGCAAATCAACAAAGGTTGTTACGACCCAAAGTACACTGTAGACGTGAAATGGTATATAAGACCGTGACAGGCCCTACACAAGTCACTTAGAATACATCATATAAGATAACAAAATGTATCGACAGTTTATAACAAAAAGAGTTTCTAAAAAATTAACGGAAGTATGATTATATTGCAAGCCATCTTATACAGAAGAGTAATAAAAAGGTCATCATGTTCAAATTTAAATGAACAGACAACACAAAATAAAGGCTTTGTCTTTTGAATATGATGACTCACCAAATGTCAAGCTTATACTAAAAGATCCTTAGCTACAAAGATGTGGAATAGGAGCGTCGCAACTTACACTAGTGGTGCAAGAGTATGCGTTAGTACACAAATGTACCAAGTATGATAGCAATGCATAAAAGTTACGAAATCATGTTAAAGGGACATTTTCATAATATGCAAAGACCAAGTAAAAAGTAAGATAAAAGGGTTAGAAAACATAAGTCGTGATCATGATCACTTCATGTAAAACCATCTTTTGAGAACATTTTTGTTACTTCTTGAAGTAATATTAGTTTATTATTGTGGGAAGTATCCTCAACTAACATAGAGTCCATGTGAGCTATAACATAAAATTCGGTGTCTACAACTCCGAAAAAGAGGTGTCCTACTTGCCATGGTAATACAATGAACATTAAACTTGGGTGGATCCACTAGATAATGTCTATGTAAGACAACATACTATGGGAGAACATAGGTATGGGATAAGGATATTGCTACTATAAACCCGACCTCAACTATGAGAGAGCTTCCATCTGAATATCCTCTCTATGCTAAGCATAAATTCACAAAGTATTTCTTAATATTAACTATTGTCTTTAAGAAACACGGGTAGTCTCTACTTGTCTTATCACGGGATATATCTTAAGACCATGCGTCCGAAAACCTTTCACTATCCATGATCTTTTCAGAATAGCTTTTAAGACCCATAGTCATTCACTACATGCTAGAAATTCCCTACTTCTAATGGAAGTATTTTTGAAATTTGTGGTCTATAATCATTAATGACATATATGTATACCATACTAATCAAGACCTAATTTAGAAAAATAGCCTGAAAAATAGCCGATGTTAGAAGAACAAATCTTGAGTTTGAGGTAAATATTTGGGTCTGCTTACAAATTTCACCTATGAAGAGTGTGATGAGATAAGAGAAAAAAGGGAAATTTAGTCCCTGATATGTGAGCCCATAACAGATTTCGAGACGTATTGGTAAATTCTCTTATGATCTTGATTTACCTAATATTTTGCATCAGTGCATCAAGATTTCCTTGTATCCTTGCTGAAGAAATGTGCTGGAAATTTTACATATATAGATCCCTTCGAAGGTTTGAGGGTAACAAAAATCTTTCTTATGAGAGAGTTCCAATTGAGATTTTAGACCGGCAACTCGACAAGTTGAGTAACAACTAAGTTGCTTCCGTGCAAGTTTTTTGGAGGAATTAGTTATTTGAGGGTGCTACTTGGGAGGTTGAGGCTGATAAGATATCTTGTTATCCTCTTCTCTTTCATTCTAATGCTTTTCTAGGTTGAGGTATTTAGTACTCATGGTTTACTCTTTTGGTGTCATGTTTCATAGATATTTCCATGAGTTTCTCATTTATTCAAGATTCATGAAAAACTTTAATTTTGAGAAAATTAGCTAACTTGTTCTATTTCTTCATGTCTATGTGCATATGAGTCTGAATTGCATATAAGCTTCATGAAATGATATATTGAAAATGTTTAGCTTGGATTTGATGTTTCCTCCTAGGATATGTGAATTATGTGATTTCATGCATGATGTCCTATTAGATTAAATTCTTACCCTCTTTATTATATATTAAACCTCCTTCGAGGCTGAATGTTCCTAATGGGGGACATATTGCAACACCTCGAATTCAAGAAAGCCTAGAAAAGAAACCTAGTGGGGTAACTCACAAGCCAGAAGTGGACCATGGAACACTCAATAGAGCCCTTGATAGGCCATGAAGGGGAACATTGTCCGTTAAGGGTATCGTGGTAAGTATCGCAGACCTACCTTGCATGATTCCTTCTAACTAAGTCATTGATGGCCTGTGGCGAGGATGATGGACTGTGGTGTTCATCGTCAAAGTGACCCACTAGCAAGGGTTCTTTCCCTAGCAACTAGTCAAGGACCACAACTTCCATAACGACTCATGGGGTCCTTGAATAGCCGTGAAGGACACCACGAAGACGGTAGCATTTGTTTTATGTCAAGGTCTTTTGAGTCTTTTTCTAGTTTTTTTAATCCAATACTATGTCGTTTTTCTCTTAAACCAAGTCCCTATATGAAGGTTTTTAACCCCCCCCCCCCCAAATCCCCCAATTCAACTCATTCTCCCTATTTTCCAAAAAGAAAAACAAGTCTTCATTTCCAAAAGTATTTATCTCTCTAAAAATCATGAAGAAGAACGAGTTAACCTTGGCTTTCAAGTCCAGTCTCTCATTCCTACTATTAAAGACACACTTTTGGTATTAAGGTATTATAGTCTTCATCCATGGAGTCCTTTCCTCCATGGAGTTCCGAAATTCTCCAATTTATAAAGCTAGAAATTCTCAATTGGGTTACGAGTTTCTTATATGTCATGCGTTACTTTAAATGTTGATTCATTTGATTTATTTATGAACTTTTATGAATAAATTGAGATAATTCCATGTTTTAAAGATGAATTCGCATGAATCCACGCCTAACTCATGTTTTCAAGATTATGTTTATTGACAATGGGCTTTGAACTATAATGAAAAATTATGGAATTATACATGTTCTTATGAAATTGATGAATTATAATGTAAGTTGCTCTGAGAGTAAATCATATATGTTGTTGTTGTTTTTGTTAATTTATGTAAAAGAAATTATCGCAAAAGAAATACTTAGGTTGAATGGTTTATCACCTAAATTGAATCAATGTTAAAGAGCTATTGTAATGAAAACTAGCTTAGATTGGTTGCTCCAATGTACCTTTACATGGATGGCATATGACTTAGCTTCGTTTGGAAATATGACGTGCCATCCACGGATAATAAGGACTAGTTAAGAAAATGACTTTATTGTGGGGTATACGCTTAGCATTGAGAGGATATTTATATGAAATCTCTCTCGTTAGTAGAGATCAGGTTTCTAGTAGCAATCTTTTTACTTAATACCCATTTTTGTCATTAGCTAGTTCATCTAATGTCACATCAGAGGAGCACCCCCTAGAGGAGCACCCCCTAGACGTAAGCGGCGGCGTCGTATTCGGAGAGGACTAAGACTAGCCTCTTAGCATACATCATTACATTCATAAGTAAAAAATGCAGAAAATTCAAAACTTTTCTTCTATATATATTATAAAGTTTACATAGACCTCTCGCTTACACATAATATATTTATATCGACTATACATAGACCCTTGATATAAGAAGACTACATAGTCTCCTACCTTTATTGCACACACACACACACACACACACATATCTGTATATATAGTCTTAAACGGTTGTCTCATCTCATAACCATCTAAACAATAGTATAACAATTGACATAGCCCATACGTCATTACAATAAAGCCACATATAGGATATACAATCTTTAGTACACAAATGAAAAGGGAAGAACTAAAAGTCTTATAACTAGGAAAAAACCAATAGCTTGATAGTTGCATTGCCCTTGAAAAGTGAAAACCTACCCAACTTGGAGAGTGAGAATTCCAAGTGTTCCTTCAAATGCATCTCAAAAGCCCTTCAACGACCGAAACCTAGAATATTAAGAAAAAGGGAGAACAAGGGGTTAGCACATCACATGTACTAAGTATGAGACCATATAGACACACACATCATAGAAATCATGCTAAAAGGTACGTTTCATTAAAGCGTGATATTTTATTTTGAACAGCCTTATGCACATTCCAGGACCAACAAACATAAGTCTAATCAAGCCACACATGCACACCACCATACTTGAGTACATAGTCAATACAACTCTATCATCAAGTTATAACATCAACAAGAATGTTTAACAGTTAATCACATTATAACAAAAGCAAGACAATTACTCATGAGCCCTTATTGAGTCCACTAGTGAAATGACTAAGCAAAGCTCCATAACCTTACTTAATCATGTAAGCCCAACAACAATTATAACCAATGTCCAACTTAACATATCATATTATGAAGAGTACATAACATCATACTTAAGCTATAGAGACCAAACATATATTTATAAGTGAATTCAACATCATATGGTGCCATCAACATGTATGATCATCATATACATACCATTTATATTTATAAGCATATTCAAACATAAAAACATCTTCCTAAGACTCCCCTCAAGGCTAACTAGTGCAATGCATAGGTAGAATCACATACCCTCACCTAGACTAAGCTAAACTCTTAGGTCATCCTAGTTAAAGTTCATTCATAACTTCATTTTAACTTTTGTGAACACTTTCGTTAATTGATGTAGACCATAAGATCTAGGTGTGAAATTCGGAGTTGTAAAACCTAACACCAATGGAAGGTGGTCTACTGGACAAAATAGAACCAAACATAAATGTAGTTGTTTAGGTAGATCCACTAGCTAGTGTTCCTATGGGGGAAACATAGTTAAGGAACTAGGAGATATGTGTGAACTCTCTACACGTCATTTAGCATTTGATCCTTATCTAATGAGAATCCATAGGGTGAGTATCCCTTATAGGGGAGTCAACACCTCATGTGAAACTATATATAGGGTGAATCTTCCTCTATGGAAAGTCAACACCTCCCACTGTCAAGTTCTCTCGTTACTAAGCTAATGTCCCATTTGAAATGTTTTTAACTCATACATTACTATCAACACTTAGTTTAGGTCATAGGCTCTATTCCTTATACAATTATCACCATCATAGCACAATAAGAATTACATAAGTATTTTCCTTTCATTATAATTCATACATGTGAGGTTAGCATATTTACGTATCACATCATGATAAGACATATTGTTAAGTTATCACCATCATTATAGCATTTACATCATAGATAACATCTCACAAACCATAGTCAAGACATTTCAATTCAACATCATACCAACCCTATCAATCTTGATATAACATATATTTCAATGCAACATCATAACTTAATCACAAGTAATCATAATCGAAGAAAAGAGTTGAGATCGCAAGGCTTACCCAATCTCCTTCATAAGCCATCATCCATGGCTTTACCATCAACCAATCCATTCCAATCAAAAATAGGTGTAGCAACATTATACAATAGTAATCTAACACTACTAAGCAAATTATATCATCACCATCCCAATCAACTTCAATTCATAACCTAGGGTTTGAGGGAGAAGTATTCATCATGAATTCTTCAAGAACTAGGTCTAATCTCAACCTTAGAATTCCCTAGGCATCCCATAGATTGAATAAGATGGTTACAACAATAAACATATTCATAATCCCCCTTCTATTAACACATATGAACAAGGACTTGGAGAAATTGGGGAAAGGATATGATTTATAAAAAAAATCCCACAATTAGCATCAATTACACAATAATATACATAAGATTAGTCATAGGCAATCATAATTCAACATAATCAATAATCAATTTCGACTTTAGAAAAATTATTTGTAGAGAAAAGCCCTAAGAATTTGGGCAATTGAAATTCAACTTTTAGAACCATATGGGGAAGGAATCCCAAGAATAAAAAACCCATACCCTTAATGAAGATTTATCCCAAAAAATTGAGTGAAAATCTTGGAGACTTTGTCATATTCCTCAAGCTTCTTGTTCTTCAATGGAGGATGAATGAAGAAAAATAAAGTAGAGAGAAGTGAGAGCAATTTGGGTTTGAAGTTGAGTTTGTGTTTTTTGAGTGGAAATGAATGGAAATTGACCTAACGTCAACATATAGTCCACCCCCAAAATACCCAAACTAACCCTTATTATATTTAACTTCCAAAAGTGAAGTTCAACTTGACGTCACTGTGAGCTCCCCCCTCCCCCCCAATCACCACGTCCCACTTCACGGTCCGTGAAGTTCTCAAAAGACCATGGTGGTGGTTGTGAAGTGGTAAGGCAGTAGCTCCCCCCAAGGAGCCCCTTTCCATTTCTCCCCCCAAAGAAGGAATACTGAGCACTTTCTCCCTTCTATGAATATGCACCAAGGCCCGTCAAGTGGCTCGTGGTGATCTGAGGCAGTAGCTCACCATCTCCAACCAACTCACCTCCTTTTTGGCTAAGGCCTTTTCTTGGCAGCCCTTGCCCTCCGTCAAGTTCACCACGAGTCGTGGAGTGGCTCGTGGTGTCTTGGACAGTAGCTAGGCTACCTTGTCATATTACCCCATGTCTAAGGCCCCTTCATGAGCTCCCCACCTTGTCCGTGGTCCTGACCATTAGCCGTGGTCATTCTCGTGAAGAGTGAGGTAGTAGCCTCCCTTCTTGGGCAGCCTTGGCCTCTTGTCTTTGGCTTGCCCTTGAAGGTTGGCAATCCTCACTTGGCCTAGAATCCTTAAGACTTACTTTGAAACTTTATATATATATATATATATATATATATATATATATATATATATATATACTCTCATCATCTATGCTAGATAAATAAAAAACCATTATACACTTTTTTCAACCCATCAAGACACCCCACTAGCTTAAGTAGTAAGTTCACCGGACGTTGTAGACATTCCTTGCCGTTTCAACTCTAAAGATTTCTAAATGTTTTATATTCATCATTTTAGGCCTTAGTACAGTAAAACAACCTTTAGACACTCTTGTTAGGCTCTAGAACACATATTAGTCTTTTGGAGTGTTACATCTACAATAGCTAGAAGTTCATGGTCTTACCTTGTAAAGTAGGACACCTCCTTTTGGTGTGGGGTATAAACCGAATTCCATGTTTATAGTTCACATGGTCTCACATGTTAGTTAAAGGTAAATCTCCCATAATAATGAACTAAAGTTACTACTTGAAGTGTCTTATGAAAGTTTAAATATGTTATGTGCAATGACCATGTTTAACTTATGATTTATGTTTTCTCACTCTATTAATTCATGTTTTAGCTTGGTCATTGTATTTCATGAAAATTTCCATTTTTAGAATGCTTTTAAATGTTTTTTTCATGTCTTTCATATCTATTGCATTTTAGTACTAATGCATACTCTTCCCTACATTTATGATCCAAATGTAGGGTCTGACGCTCCAGGTTCGCACTCCCACAGCTAGGGATCTTTATTAGAGATTTGAAGATTAGAGATTCCTCATTTTTTGAGGACCAAGCTTTCATTCGTTCGTCTTTAGTTTTATGTTTTGGATTTGATGTACGGGTTACGTCCCAAGCATTTCTTTGTAATAGATGGATTTGAGACTTTGTGAATTTTCCATTTCGTCTTATCAAACTCTATGATTTGATTTACACTTTTAAATCTCATATAATTCCTATTTTCGTGTACGAAGAGTGCTCAGTGGAATGTATGAGGCTTTTTGGGGTCTTTTACGCTATGTTTCACCCAGCGTCTACCTTGTATCGTGATAATATGGGACCGTCAAGTCATGGATTGTGAACCAGTGGAAATTGATGATCAATAATCCACTCGGATGTGAGAATCAAATCGCTGAATTTCATGTTTTTCTTTTATGTAGTACATGGTTTGCATATCATTGAGCATATAAAGAGACTATGGAGAAAGCTGAGGAATATTGATTTGGGACATCATGAGCCATGGCTATCTATGAGAGATTATAAGGTTATCCATAGATTTGAGGTTAAAATGGTTGGTTCTAAAACCTATGAAGCTAAAACTAAGGACTTTGACTCTTTTTTGATAGATACACGCAATTCTGTGGGTAAATTGTATGGAGTCACATATAGTAGGTTTGATTGGGCACTAGTTAAAGCTAGATGGCTACTATTCATTCAACCATTGGAAGAACAAATAATTGATCCATAATACTCAGATCACTCACCTCTATGTGTTACTTGACACAGGAGGAAGATAGAAGACATAATCCATTAAAGTTTTTAAAACATCTAGTAAAGCATGAGAAGTTCTAGAGGACAGTACAAAGGATTTGGAAAAAAATACATAGTACTGGTACAATGTGTGGGGTGTGATATCAACTTAAGAGTGTGAAACAAGCTGCGAAAGAATTAAATACATTCGAATATCATTGAGTGGGAAAGAGAAATGGACATGTCCTAAATAGAAGTCAGCAAGCTCAATTTATTGAGCCATTGACCAAGCAAGAAATAGTAATGTCAATATTAAAAGACATATTTTTTAAAAGGACTTGGGCAAGCATGGGTGAGAAAATCACAGATGCTTTCTTGCATTTCTTTTCCACATGTATGATGTGTAAATCCATTGAGTCACCTTGTAACTTTGATTCTTAATGTAACACATTCTTCAAAAATATCTGAGTATAGACAAATGGATATATATGTAATCGTTAGTGGACACATTCATTCTATCATCTATAGTTATCCATGTGACACTTGACACATCTAGTATAGCATAACAAAAGGACAAGGCGTAAGTAACCCCTATACTATGACCAAAATTTCTGAGATATTTTAACTAAGCTAAGGTCCTATAACCCTACTCGAACTCTTTTTATTGTAATTTTGTACACTTTGTGGTGGCACACTGCATGACTCCACATAGTTGAGGCGTGTGTGAGATATTTGGATACCACGTAAGCCAAAAAGTATGTAGAATTATTTATAAAATGGACCGAAAGGATAATAAGACCTTAGTTTAATTAATGTGTCATTAAAATTTTGTAATAGTCTATGGGATAGTTATATCATATCCCTACCAAAAAAACAAATTTTACATTCTCTAATAGAAAAATAATAAATTCTTACACAAAATTAGATTCTTCTGCCGACGGGGTGTACCCAAAGCAACAGCAGTCCTTGAAGGCAGTTTTAAAAATAATAATCTAGAAGAAAGGAGACTTCTGAGTTTTCCCATCACATGTTTTCTCAATATAGTTTAAAATTAGTTTCTATATAATATATCATTAGTGAAAAATAACTAAGTGCCTGAATTGCAAGATTGTATATTTACACACTTAATTCAATAAATATAAATATTTTATTTTATGTCAATAAACCTATGTATTAATATAAAGCTTGATGTTCAGCTTGCTGATGTGGCATATCTCAATAATCAGAAAGCCTATTTGTTTATTGTCTCAGATTTTGGAGGATTCTTTTTCCTTTTTTTGTTCAGGCTGCTGATTTGGCATACCTCAATGATTAGGAAGCCTATTTAATTATTTTTTTAGATTTTGGAGGATTCTTTTTCCTTTTTTCAGATGTAAAATGATTTTAATTAGCTATTGTTTAATTTTCTCAATTTAAGGCTATAATAATTAATGAATTTTAATTAATTAAATCTTGAGAAAGAGAACATATCAGTAGCTCTTAACCATTTACTTAAATAAAGTGTTTTAATTAATTTAAATTTTGAGAAATAGAACGTTTAAATTTCTAATTTTTAATTTTGATTAATAGCTCTAATCTGTTTCCTTAAATTAAGCTTACAATAACTGGTGAGAACACTTATAGTTTTAAATTATGAATTAACGCTTTTCAACGTTCAAAATATTAAAGTCCTATAAATTGGCACTTTACTATTTAATTTTCCATTAATCTTTTCATTCTCTTTATAATTTTATTTGGATTTGATTTGATGGTTTGCTAATACTATTTTAAAAGTTAATAGAAAAGATGTCTAATTTTATATTGTAATTTCTCATTTATCTTTTCATTCTCTTTATAATTTTCTTTGGATTTGATTTGATGATACTATTTTAATAATTAATGAAAAAGATGCCTAACTTTATATCGGTCTAATTTTGCAGGAAGTTTAAAATGATTTGACAAGATCTTCCTATGGAAATTATATTAATTATAATGGAATATTGTGAAGGTGAGAACAACATCAACTTTGATTGTCATGCAAAGTTACATATTGTTCTTATAATTTATATATTTTTTGGCTTTCTACATGATATTTGGTGTCTACATTGCAGTGTGATTATATATGATGTCACAACAAGCAAGGCTCCATATGGAAGGAGCACTTCCTACTAAGGAGTTTTTTCGTACTCAAGATTTGACGAGATGTTTAATTAAGAGAGTAACATTCTTCTCCAATACATATCATCTTTTCATGTTTTTTAAGAAGGGTTTACCACCTTGTGAATGTAACATTTTAGTTTTATTGTGAAATATATGTTAATTTATTGTGTAGATAGTTTTTTCCCTTTACAAACACTACTAAAAAAAGGCCAAAAAGAGACCTAGAAATGGAGACCTCAAAAATAGGTCAATAATAAGAACCTCATGAGGTCGCTATATAAATTAATATCTTTTAATTTTTTTTAATGTAGGAGAGACCTCGTGAGGTCAATATAATGAATAATATTTTTTACCTGACTTATTTAAAAAAATTAATTTTTAATCTAATTCTCATAAAATTGGAGACCTCATGAGGTCTCTAATTTTTTAACTATTCAATTAAATTAAATTAAATTATTATTTTTTATTTAACAAGTAGAGACCTCATGAGGTCTCTACTTGTTAAATTAAAAATAATAATTTAAAATATTTAAAAATTTAGAGACCTCATGAGGTCTTTTAAGCAAAACCAAAAACCTAGGCAAAATTAAAATAGCTCTTTCTTTCCGCTCTCTTAATTTTTGGTCAACCGCGCGCCTCTCTCTCTTTCTCACTGCCCTCGTCGACCACCTCTCTCTTTCTCACTGCCCTCGTCGACCGTCTCTCTCTTTCTCGTCGTCGACCGCCTCTCTCTTTCTCTCTCTCTGTCGACCCTCTCGCTCATCGCTCTCTGTCGACCCTCTCGCTCATCGCCAGCTCTCCGCCGCCAGCTCTCGCGCCGCCGCCAGTTGCAGTCGCCTCAGCAGCAGTGCCTCCATCATCAGGTAAATTTATTTATTTTTGGTTATTGAAACTAAATGTGTTAGATCATTGAGGAGGTGTTTGAGGTTAATTTGATTGTATTATTATATATTTATATCTCATAGTGATATTGTAACTTTGCACATATACTTATGTTGTTATGAATCTTTAATGAAAAGAACCTATTGGTAAAATGTGTGTGATACTACCTTGAAATTTCAAGTCCGTTGAACTAAGGATACTTATGTAAACTCTGCAGCTGATCTCGTGGCATTTAATCTTTATAATAAAAAACTATGAAAATGGCATCTAATAGCAAGTTGTGCAAGTGGATGTTAGGATAAACTGAAAGATAATAGTATAAGCATATTCAGTGATCTAATAAGCTGAAAAATGTTCTGTCAAGCACCAAGTAAACATGAAAAAAAGGTGACTACCAAGAAAATATTTTGACCTAATTATAACTAATTTAAGGATCTCAATGATATCAAAGATATTGAAAGTTAATACTCAATAAAAAACTCATTTATAATTAAGCACGAAACCACTCACGAAATGTTCCCAGGAAAGTACTGAAACTTAGGCCATGTACTGTACTATGATACAGAAGTCTCCATTCATGCAGCTCGTCTTGTGGGAGGGCCCATATATATGCCAAGCATATTCCTTTCTTAACAATAAAAAAACAGGGAAGGAGAAGAGACAGAATAAGAGCATTTTTCCCATGTTTTTCTAATAGAAGCTTTCTGATGAAAAGATGTTTCTATAGGGAGCCACCTTGTTAATAATGATAAAATGTAAAGTTATTTTATGAGGCCAAACATGATGAATGAGAAGGCCATAAGGATCTTTTTTAAGAAGTGTATTCATATGAACCTTTTAACTCAAAGTAGAAAAAAGATGTAAAAAGAATAAGATAAGAGAAAACAATGTGCTGTCATAGACATGTGAACAATTTCACGTGGGAAAAAGATGACTTGTTTGCTCACATGTCATTTTCCCACTCATTTGTATCTAATGCAAACCTATTAATTTTCCTACTAATTGAGTTTGCTTTCAAATCTCTAGTCATTTTAGAGGTTTCATTTGGAGGCAATTCTTACACATTCATCATTAGTAATTTGGAGATTGTAATATGCTGATTATTTTTCAGTGCATGAATGTTTACTTTGATATATTGCAAGTTGATATACAATATATAATTTTGAATATTCTGAAACATTATAAAAACAAAGTTCTCCTATCATTATTTCTTAAGCATAAGTATCAACACTAGTTGATCCTATTGATGACAAAATTGATTTTCTTTTGAAATCAATTTGTGTCCATCTAGTGTTGACACTTAGCTTTAAATTTTAGAAATAATTATTTGTTAAGCATAAGTACCAAAACTAGTTGATCCTATTGATGACAAAATTGATTTTCTTTTTGATAATCAATTTGTGTCCATCTAGTGTTGACACGTAGCTTTAAATTTTAGAAATAATTATTTGTTAAGTTTGTAACTATCGTGTTAGTATTAAGTTAAACTAAACTAATGAAACTTAGAAATTTGTTAAGTTAGTTAATAAGTTAAACTTGTTACTATAGTATTAGAATTTAGTTAAAACTAAACTAATTAGACTTAGAAATTTGTTAAGTTGGTTAATAAGTTAAATTTGTAACTATTGTTAAGTTAGAATAGATATCTTCAAGCTTTGGAGGATTTACAAGAAACTCTGCCTGAAGAAAATTGAGGTATGCCACTTACTCAAGAACATGATGAGAGAGTTTGGTTAGACTTGACTTGTGGGCCAAGTAGATATGGGTATGCATATGGAATGCCTCATAAAAACTTTTGTGAATTTTCTTCTGAGTTTGAAGGTCTAAATAGTTTAAATCATGATGAATCAATGAAGAAAAATTTGGCTATGGAGAAAAAGATTGTTGAGCTATCTAGCCTAGCCGAAGAATCACGGGCTAGGGAAAGGCGGTTGGAATTACAGTTTGCGGGTCTTAAGGCTCAATTCGATGCATTACTTGCCTCGGGAGGGATTTCCCCTTGTTCTGGTGATGTCACTTTCCCTCCTCGACCTCCTCAATCTCAACCTACTCAATATCCAATGTATGGTCAACAAAGAAATATGACCCATGAGAGTAGTGATGAAGAAACTGATGAAGAAAGTGATGATTATGTGGCAAACACACTACTACATTAGTGAAGTTTAGACTTGTGATAGTTAACTTATGGATCATTTTGTGAACTTTATAATTTTGTGATGGGAATTATTTGTTTTGTGAATACATGATAACGTTGGAATGTATTATATAACTTATGGATATCATGGTTTTTGTTTAATATATAATTATGTTGAAGTGAGTTGCAATTGAGTTGATAAGCGAATATTTAGTAAATGTATTGCTTCAATTGAGTTTTTGAAGCTCTTTGAGTTTGATTTGGGTACTGAATTAAAATGACAGGTGATGAGAAGCCGCAGAAATAATAATTTTCTGCCAGTTTTTTTCCAGAAAAAGAGACCTCATGAGGTCTCTTTTTTGCATTAATTTTCCAGATATTTCATAATAGAGACCTCATGAGGTCTCTTTTCTGCATTATATTTTCCGTAAATCACGAGGTCTCAAAAAATAAATGGAGAAAAGAGACCTCATGAGGTCTCTACTTTAAAATAATATAAAATTAAATTAAATAATATCTTAGCGACCTAATGAGGTCTCTTTATTAAAATATAAAATTAAATAATATAATAAAATTGTGACCTCATGAGGTTTCTATATAAAAAAATATAAAATTAAAATAAATAATACAATAGTGACTTCGTGAGGTTTCTTTTTTGTAAAAAATCAGATAATTTGTTGGTGACCTCGTGAGGTGTCTGTTTGGTGACCTCATGAGGTGTCTGTAAAAAAGTGACCTGCATTTTATTGACCTAGCGTTGAGGTCTCTTTTTCGGTCTCTTTTTTTCCGAAAAGAGACCTCGTGAAAATACATAATACTTTAGTATTGTAAAGGTAGCTGATTACTAAATTGTCGATATTATAATGTCCGTCATTTTTAAAAATGTTATTCAAACATCTTCATTACCTTTACAACCTTGATTAGTCATTAACATACAAAATAAACTATGACCTCCTAAGTATGTCCTATTTCTTCCCTTTTCCTTATGTGTATTTTTTTTGTTCTATCTGTCTGTTTATTTGGTCAACTTTTGACATTTCTTTTCTAAAAATATTGTTTATCGAGTAAATATATTTGAACGGGTTCTAATTTTCCAATTTGTTATCATTTCTCTCTATTTTGTCATGTATATATTTAGATAATAGTTATATGTCTTATTTAAATTTTAAAGAAAATATTATAATCATAATTAAAGGTAAAAGGATTTTCATATTCGATATTAATTACTTTTTTCGACATACTCTAATTTTAAAATTATAAAAATACTCTAATGATAGCGTACCGTTGATTATTAAATTTAATAATAAACAATTGAAAAGACATTTTACATTAATGAAAGGAGAAGAATGAAAAAATTAAAAATGATGATTAATTTTAGAATATGGAGGGATGGAAATTGAAAAGGCCATTATTAATTGTGATAAATTCGTCAAAGGTTTCTGACAATTCATAGCAACAAATAAATACGAAAAAGAGATTTTAGAATGAAAAAAAAGTAGATTGTAGCTTATATCTATAAATTACCATATACTTTCATTTACTTATTTTTTTTATGTTATTTCTATATTTCAAGTAAATTTAATAAAATTAATAATAAAATTTGTCCCATAGAAAAAAAATGACATTATTAGGATATTGAAAGAACTATAGGAAGTTTCTTTTTTTGTTTGAGTTGATTTATTTCAAAAAAAAATTGGTATACTATTAGTTATCAATCTTATATTACCTTTTATCTTTTCTTCTTTATTTGATTGTTTTCTTCATTTTGATATTTTTTATTGGAATAAATAAAAGATGATAAGAAAAGGTTTAAAGAAAAATGAATATTTACAATTGTGTGATTTGTTAATAAGTAGTCACAACTCACCATATGACAGACTTTATTTTACCTTTTTTTTTATACTTAATCCTCAATTTTAAGAAATAGTACTAATGTATTTGGTATTACTTCTAGTCTAATAAATTAGCCTATTACCTTTTAATATTACACATTAATGAAATAGCACATCCTTTCATATTTCATTTTAATGGAGAATAAAAGAATACTTATATGCTCCATTAATTAAGTTCACCATTTTCTTTTATTTAAATACTAAAATATAATGAATTTGCATTTTTTGAGACCGTTCATGGCTATAATTACTACTCATTGCAAGATAAACATAGATGAATTGAGCATGAGTTTTATTTGTTTGAGTTTAGATAGTCAGAGATTGGACATTAGTAAAGATTGGATGATGAATCATACTCCCTCTGTCCCTATTTAGTTGTCCACTTTAGAAGTGACACACATATTAAGACACCAATGATTATTATAGTTTAGTTACAATTTTACCCTTTAACTTAAAAAATTATGTAACTCCCCAAATTTAATAAATGCATTTTCTGGTTCCAAAAAGCATGATTACAACTTAGTAGTACTAGAATTTTTCAAGAATTAAATAAGGGCATATTAGGAAAAATATTATTGTCCTTTCTTGATTTGTTAAAATGGACAAGTAAATAGAGAAAAATATAAGAGGAAATATGAACAAGTAAATAGAGACAGAAGGAGTATCTTTTTTAAAATGAGTAATTTGATTTGATTTAAGTTCTTTTATCATTGAAGAGTACATATCACAAGTTAAAAGATGTTGGCCGATATGAATGACCGGATAATATACTTGAAGGTAAAACCAATTATTAAACAAAATTGAGCGATATTTTTTTACCTTTCTCCCTACAATAAAATTAAGAAATAATGATAAAATCAAACAATATGATATAGTGGAGATATAATTAATCGAAAAGAAAATTAATTCTAACACACATATTTTAATACTCGCATGAAGCATGGCAATGTTGCATAGTATATTATATAACCAAAAGAATACAAGTTACTTCATTAATTTATTAAAATTTATATTTAAGTGTCCTAGAAAATATTATTGAAACAGGGTTTAACCAAACGGTGAGATGATCAATCAATTTTTTGATGGAGTAAACTGACTAGGTGGGTCCATTAATTAGCCATTTCCATGATATTTTACTTCTGAAAAAGAAAAATTTGGAGTAAAGGGACTAGGTGAGTCAATTAATTAGCGTGAGAGAAGGAGAGGAAATAAAGTGTACTTGTTGCTACCTCGAAAATAAGGATATAGAAAATATAACGACACTTTAGCCACTTGAAAATATAAAACATTACTTTATTATCTTAACTACTGTAGCAACATTTGCCTAACTATGGTTGTTTTTGCATCTTTATAATACTTTGTTTTGACAATCCCCTTTGTCACTTCACTCTCCTTCCATTTTGATAGTTTCAATCCCAATTATTAGAATATCAAATATGAAGCGGATGCTTATTAAGAAAATGTTGTAATTTATCTCACCAAAAATGATTCAGAGTTCAACATAGGCCGAGCTACATATTTTAAAACACTCTATCTTTGGGACAAGGCCTCTGGGAGTGTCAAAGATTTGTCAACGCATTTCTCCTTCAGAATCAATTCTCAGGGAAGAAACTTATATGCTTATGTTCTTACCTATTTCCTCGCCCCTGCAGTTCCAGTAATTCCTGATACACACTTTGCTGCAGGAGAGGGACTTGGCCTTGCAACTGTTTATCAACAATATTCATCGAAAAACCACCATTTTGTTGCAGTCGAATTTGACATCTTTTGGAACTCTTATGATCCACGGGATAATCATGTGGGTATCGATATCAACTCCATGCAATTTGTTGTTAATGTGACCTGGTTTAGTGGCACTCCCAATTGTACGAGAACTGATACCTGGATAACTTATAATTCAATCTAAAAAAATCTTAGTGTTGTCTTTACTGCTTTCCAAACACAAGGGAATATCATAGTCACCATCCTGCAGAACCTATCTTACAATCTTGATATGAAGGAATATTTTCCAGAGTGGGTCACTATTGGCTTCTCAGGTGCAATAGGAACCTTCTCTGCAATACATACCATATATTCTTGGAATTTTATTTCTTATTTAAAATATAATGGAAACATAAGTGATCCAGATATACCCCTACCAAGTCCTGTGCCATAGTATATATCAAGCAGAATTAAGTCACGACAAGTGATTGGATTGTTTTCTGCTGGTTTTCTTTCAATAGTAGTATCTGTTTTAATATTTATTGCATTTTGGAGAAAGACAAAGGCCAGAGAAGAGGAAGAGGATGATACTAATGATGGTTCCGTGAACAATGAATTTGAAAGAAGTTCTCGTTAAAATTATACAACATCAGTCTTGGTTTTTAATTTGATCTGAGAGAATATTTGCCAGAATGGTTAACTTTTGGCTTCTCATGTGCAACAGGAAACTTCACTTCAATAAATACCATATATTTTTGGAACTTTACTTCTTCTTTCAAATATAATGGAAACATAACTGATCCAGATGTACCCAACCAAGCCCTATGCCAGAGGATACTTCAAGCAAAAATAAGTCAGGACTAGTGATTGGATTGTTTTCTGGTGGTTGTGTTTCGATAGCACTATCTTTGATATTATTGGTTGTTCCATGAACAATGAATTTGAAAGAAGTTCTTGTTAAATATCTATAGTTTTTGTAAGTATTTATAGGGCCATTAACCGATGGAATAAAATATATCTATCATTTTCTCTGCACACTGCTTATCTTACTCTTCCGCTACAATACTTTGTAGTAAACTTATTATTTTGTTCAGCTCTTCGTTTGGTATTAGAGCGAGGTTATTCTATGAAAATCACTTACCTATAGTTTTTCTTTCTATTAAGATGATGTCGATGATATGACAGCCCAACAGGCTGGTGACGAATGAAAAAGCTCAACAACAACAACTACATTACATGATTGACTTGTATATTGTCTTATATGCAAGGGAAAGATTAATTGTGGGAGATTGTCAGTGGCACTGAGGTGACACAACTAGAAGTAGAAGATGCAAATACCACATTACAGAAGTGGAAGATAAAACCAGGAAAGGTTATATTCGTCTTTAAAGCAACGACTGAAGAAGAGGATGTGCTTAAGCACAAATAACATGCCACTACCCCAAAGTAGAATTGGGATACATTCACCAGGTTATTTAATAGAAAAAATGACACAAGCCTCCAACTCTTAAAGAGTTAATTAATTTTGATAGCACAATGGAACATGACAATTGCACAATACTCTCATAAGGTAAAGATGTTATGTAGAGAGATTTCACAGTTAGATCCACAAGCTCCAATTGGAGGGACGATGATGAAGTGAATCATCATCATGCTCTGAAGCATGAATATCTTCATTGCTGCTACACAAGGATGGAAAATTAAACCTTCAATTGTAGAATTCAAGAATATTCTAGTTGGACGGGAATCTTTGGCCAAGCAAATGGGAGAAGCTTCACTTATGATGGAGCTTCACTATATGTCAATAATGGAAGCTGAAATTTCATGCCGCATGGTGCCAGTGTATCTAAAGAACGATGATAAGATGGAAGGTAGCCAAGGTAAAGAGAGAACTCGTGGAACGGGTGGTTTGAAGAATCACTGTGGAAAAAAAGTCTGAAGGGAAGTGCTACAATTGTGACAAGACGGGAAATATGGTGAAAGGTTGCAGGTCAAGGGAAAAATTATGGACATGTAATGCTGCCATTACCAAGGTTGATGAGGAATGGGATGCTGAAGCTTTCTAAACTATCAAAGACGAGGATCTAGACTTCACAACTTTAATATCCAATCCAATTGACTTGTTGATTGGATTGTTGGTTCAGGCTGCTCAAATTACATTATTAACCTCTTATAATCAAACATAATCAATAATGACAAATGCATACACTAACAAGTCAGTTTATGCAGGAAAAGGAACCAGCTATACAAAAAGAACATATTCCCGAAATGATGGAGTTCAGTTGATTGCTGAAATCAATACTAACTACGAGCAAAATCCAGCTAAGAAAGGGAAGCAAAATTTTGGTCAATCAGATCAAATATTGTCACTTGCAAATAATAAGAGAGAGACACGAAATGAAGAGAATCCTTCAAATTAACCGAGAAGGACACTAAGCTTAAGTAAAGGGACAACTTAAAGAAGCAATCACGTCCAACATTTTTGGATTGCATTTATGAGAAATCAAATCAAGAAATGAAAATTAGCCCAGCAAGGAAAGAATTGATTTGTCTTGCACAGATGTGATAGGAGGAAATTAAGTATATTCGTTGCTTCCTCGAAAATACGAACATAGAAAATAGAAGGACTTTTTTGCCAAATGAAAATATAAAAACATTACTTTATTATTTTGACTAGTGTAGCAACATACATTTGTTTAACTATGGCTATTTTTTGCATCTTTATCATACTTTGTTTTGATAATCCCCTTGGTTACTTCACTCTCCTTCAATTTTGATAGTTTTAATCCCAATGATCATAATATAACCTATGAAGCAGATGCTTATTCAGAAAACAGTGTAATTTAATTCACCAAAATTGGTTTAAACCTCAGCATAGGCCGAGCTAAATATTCTAAAACACTCTATCTTTATGACAACACCTCTTGAATTGTCACAGATTTCTCAATGCATTTCTCCTTTGGAATCAATTAATATGGAAGAAATAATTGTGTTGATGGTCTACCTTTTTCCTCGCTGCTGAAGGTTCAGTAATTCGTGATAAACTTTTTGCCGCAATAGAGGAACTTGGCTTTGAAGTTCTAATCATCAATATTAACTGAGAAATCACCATTTTGTTGTAGTTGAGTTCGACATCTATACTAACTATTATGATACACGGGGTGATCATGTAGGTATTGATGTCAACTCCATGCAATCCTATGCTACTGTGAACTGGTTTAGTAGAATTCCCAGTGGTACGTAAACTAATGCCTGGATTACTTATAATTCAATCGCAAAAAATATTAGTGTTGTCTTCACTGGTTTCAAAAAACAAGTGAATACTACAGTCACCATCCTGTAGAAACTATCTTACAATATTGATCTGAGAGAATATTTGCCATAATGGGTCATTTTTGGCTTCACAGGTGCAACAAGAAACTTCATTGAAATACATATCATATATTCTTGGAATTTTACTTCTTCTTTCAAATATAATGACAACATAAAACATCCAGATGTACCCCTACCAAGCCCTGTGCCAGAGGATTCTTTAAGCAAAAATAAGTCAAGATTAGTGATTAGATTGATTACTTCTAGGTGTGTTTCGATAGTTGTATCTATTTTTATAGTATTTGCATTTTGGATAAAGAGATAGGTGAGAGAATATGAAGATATATTATTGATGGCTCCCTGACTTATGAATTTGAAAGAAGCACATGAAAAAAGAGTTCTTGTACCCTGAATTGGTCTTATGTACAAATAACTTTTCACGGGAAGAGATGCTTAGCCAATTTAACTTGAAGCTTCTAGGGAAGATTTGCGGATGCAAACCATGGACACCAGCATAGACTGTGGGTCACTCTATGGTCCTTGGGTGGCGGCCGTGAGTCGCACCTGCAATATCTCAAAATCAGCACTGTGGTATGTTTTTGTATACAGGATGTTAAATTAGTAGAGAACAAGTTTCTAGTAGAAATCTCTATACCACATACCTGCGTGCTGCATAAGATGATTGTCTTAGATAGACATTATCTAGTGGATCCACAATATCTAGAAGTTCACTGTTTTACCTTTGAAAGTAGGACACCTATTTTCAGTGTGGGATAGACACTGATTTTATGTTAATAGCTCACATGGTCTGACATTTCAATTAAAAGTAAATCTCCCACAATAATGAACTAAGAATATTTCTTGAAGTATCTTATGAATGTTTAAATATGTTAGTTTCAATAACCGTGTTTACCTTATGATTTATGTTTTCACACTCTTTAAATTCATGTTTTAGTTTAGTCATTAAATTTTGTAACATTCCAGAAAATGTACATGTCAAATAAAGAGCCTAGTAGGTTTTTAAGAATGCGTATTGGGGTAAATAGGAAGCCCAATGCCGAATATTGAGAAATATTGGACATATTATAGAATATTGGCTTAAGGATGTTAGCCAATTTCTATGTATACACAAGTATTTAAAATATAACCCAAGCTTGTTTATGAATTGTGCCTTTAATGAAGACCCTAAGCTAAAACTATTGATGCTCAACTCAACACATTAGGTACTAGGTATCCAAGCGTCAATCCTAGGTATCATAGCACATAGCCATTTAAAATGATCATGTTTATTACTCAATACCCAAGGACATACTGAGGATCCTTCAGACAATAAGTAAACATTCCAAATGAACCTTAAAGAATAGTTAGTTATGAAAGTACACGCAGCAAACATTCCAAATGAAACTTCCAGAATAGTTAGTTATGAAAGTACACGTAGCACATGTGCAAGCACATGGAAAACACGTGCAATCGACCAAGGGACCACTCTAACCGATTTGGTTAGAGTGGTTGGGGACAACGCACGTCAGGGTCTAGCCACACGAGACTCAGCTCCCTAATCTGTCCTAGATCCTAACTAACTAACCTAGCTAACTATCTAACCTAGGACAAACCGTAAATAACTAACTAAGGGACCCGAGAACCTAAGACCTAGTAGGGTGACACCAAATCGTGTAACTAACTAAGAGACATCCTAGTACCTAACCTAGGATGGTCCAAAGGGTTTGTTATGGTCCTAACAACTTAGGGGTACTTTAGTAATTCCACTAGGAATCTTAATTAATTAAATTTGAAACTTTATTAACTAATTTATATGGACAAAACCGAAACCACTCAGCAATTTCCAGATTTCGGTTAAGTTAAGCATTCTTTTATTTCTAGTCAATTTAGGAC